TAAGGAGTGTGGGAAAACTTCTAGTTCACAAAGTTATAAAAACCATGAAAAAATTCACACTGGGGAGAAACCCTATTCATGTAAGCAATGTGAGAAAGCTTTTGGTACCTACGTTTCTTGCCAAAGAAATGAAAGAACTCACACTGAGAAAAAACCCTATGTATGTAAGCAATGTGGGAAAGCCTTTAGTACACAAGCTTGTTGTAAAACCCACAAAAGAATTCACACTGGAGAGAAACCCTATTCATGTAAGCAATGTAGAAAAGCTTTCCTGAGGTCAAGTAAATGTCAAAGACATGAAAAAATTCACACTGGTGAGAAACCCCTATAATGTAAAGCAGTGTGTCTAGCTCAGCTGGTGACATTGAAACACATGAAATACTCACACACAGCATTAATTCTATATATGTAATCAATATAAGAAAGCTTTCAGCATTTGTGTTTGCCAAAGACAGAACTTACAATGGGGAGAAACCACATGTATGTAAGCAATGTGGGAATGCTTTCAGTATTTCTACTGTCAAATACATGAAAGAGGTCTCACTGGGGAGAAAATTATATTTGTAAGCCTATTTTAACATCCTGTGGGGATTACTCATGTAGTGGAGACCTGTAGAAAGAATTAATATAAAAACTTTGTCAATATTTCTCCAGAAAATACAATCCTAGATTGAGATATCCTAACGTGCATGCATTATGTGTTTTTCAGTAAATCAGTTAAATGTCTGGATTATGTATCTTCAGTGTTTAATATAAAAATATAGATTTGACATAATTAGGTATTTTTGTGTCTTTGAGCTTAATAAATAGTCTTTTAATTAAGCATGGTAAATTGAAGCTGGGCATGGTGGCGCAAGCCTGTAATCCCAGCACTTGGGAGGCTGAGGCAGGAGGATCACTGTGAGTTAGTGTAGTGAACATGTAAAACATAGATTTCACACTGGAGAGAAACCCTATTCATGTAAGCAATGTAGAAAAGCTTTCCTGAGGTCAAGTAAATGTCAAAGACATGAAAAAATTCACACTGGTGAGAAACCCCTATAATGTAAAGCAGTGTGTCTAGCTCAGTTGGTGACATTGAAACACATGAAATACACACAGCATTAATTCTATATATGTAATCAATATAAGAAAGCTTTCAGCATTTGTGTTTGCCAAAGACAGAACTTACAATGGGGAGAAACCACATGTATGTAAGCAATGTGGGAATGCTTTCAGTATTTCTACTGTCAAATACATGAAAGAGGTCTCACTGGGGAGAAAATTATATTTGTAAGCCTATTTTAACATCCTGTGGGGATTACTCATGTAGTGGAGACCTGTAGAAAGAATTAATATAAAAACTTTGTCAATATTTCTCCAGAAAATACAATCCTAGATTGAGATATCCTAACGTGCATGCATTATGTGTTTTTCAGTAAATCAGTTAAATGTCTGGATTATGTATCTTCAGTGTTTAATATAAAAATATAGATTTGACATAATTAGGTATTTTTGTATCTTTGAGCTTAATAAATAGTCTTTTAATTAAGCATGGTAAATTGAAGCTGGGCTGGGCTGGCATTATTTCTGGATTGCGCTGGCAATTGTAGTTGTATCCTTTGTGTGGGCCTGTATTTGTATTGTTAATGAGAGTAAAAGCATTGATCAAAACGAAACCGAATTGGCAATCATTGATGCGCTGACCTGTGATCCCGAAACGCAAATCGGTGCTCGCGACAGTTAGAGACTAGCCTGGGCTACACAGTGAGTTCCAGAGCAGTTTGAACTACATAGTAAGACCCTGACTCAAAAAACAAAATGTAAAAAAGCATGGTAAATTGAATTGGGGGGGCCTTTCAAGTAGAGTTAATATTTATGTACTTTTTGTTTATTCTTTACAATTGGGAGATAAGGGCCACTAAAAATTTTTATTAATTGCTTTTTGTTAGGATTTTGCCACTACCTTTGTTTTTAAAATTTTTGTGTGTATACTCTATTCTGTGTAACAAAAGATATTTTTTAATGTAATACCATATTTCATAATGAGATATATATTTTCAGAGACTTGTGAACATGTGTTTTTGACAAGTTGATTCACAACTTAATTAACACATTATGTTTCTCATATCGTGACAAGGTATCTGCTTATATCCTAACATTGTATTTTTATCATGTACATAATTTTTCCTATTTTTCTTTCATATTAGAGCCAATATTATCATTTACATAAAAGTTTTTTCTTACCATCAAAGTTGTACTTGTTGAATTGCAATGACTTTTAATTTTGTGATAATTATTCCACCATATGTACCAAACATAACCCAAACTGGGGCAACCCACTTTCCAGTCCCCTGTCTGTCTCTCTTACACAGAAGTTTTCTTCCCTTCAATAAATTTTTCCTACTCTTAAACCTCCTAGAATCCATTCTTCGATTTTAGAGAATCCAAACTCAGGTTTCAAATATCTAGCAGGTTTGAGAGTTACATCTCTTTCTCCTGTATCATTTTGGAAGTCTTCCACTCAGATTACTGGTCAGAGTTCTTAACAGTATTTGGTTCAAGGCACTTCCCTCCTCTGTGGCTGCTGGATTTCAAGACAAAGCTTCCAGAATGTTTGGAGACCAAAACTAGAAATGTAACTGGGTTATGAGGACAGCCAGTATTTTGGCCCTGGCCCCTCAAGGACTACAAGATCCAGGACACAAGGAAACTTTCCTATAAGATCCTACATCTTTGAGGCTGCCAAACTCCAAGCGGTCATACAAAAGGAACCAGTGACAAATGTGCTAGACTTCTTTTACTGGGAACCACCACATCGACATTGTAAACAGCTCATAACTGCTAAACTGTACAAAATGACTTCTACGTTGGATTCTGAAGTCCCCTGGACCTTCTCTTATCTCCTTATCCTCTTTGTTGGCTATAGTCATAGCAATCTTGCTGCTCTTATAATTTGGCCCATGCATTCTTAACTGTTTCTTTGGCTTTGTCTCCTCCAGTTATGCAGCTACCAAGATGACAATGCCAGCTGCCTACTGAAGGCCTTTATGTAGACCCTCTGTAGAGTAAATGTTGATCACAACTATGACCCTCTTCAGCTGGAAGTAGACAGAGTTGTCTTCGCCCTTTGCCCCCTCATAGCCATTAGGGGTTCTTCAGAGGGGGAAATATTGCAGATAGGGAAGTTAATTAGATACCTTGTAGGCAGTTACAGGGCCACCCTCAAGGAGCCAGCACAGCAATGAGCCAACATGAAGGACAGTCAAGACACATTAACTTAAAACTAAAATTGTAAAAGGAGAGAAACTATTAGATCTTTTGTTGTTGTTGTTGTTTTTGTTTTGTTTTGAGACAGGGTCTATTTAGTTGAGACTGACCTGTCACTCACTATTTAGCTCAGGCTGATCTTGAACTCACAGCAATTCTCCTGCCTCAGCCTCCTGAGTGCTGGGATTACAGCCCAGCAGAAACTACTATATCTTTATGCTTCCCCTGGGGATAAAGAGCAGTGATTGTTATTCTAAATAGGCATCAATCACCAGGGTGGGGGGCCAAGGTCTTAACCCAGCCTTTCCCCGAAATATCCCTAATCCCCCATCCTTACTGCTATGTGACTTGCTCCTCCATTTGACCCCCATTTAATCAATATTACCTGGGTACTTGTAATCTTACTGGTTGGTCATGGTTTTGCCCCACCTCATGTCCATCTTGTAATTTTCCATTGGGCCTTAACTTTATACCTGACTCAACACATGGCTTTGCTGCACACAACCTCTTTGAAAATTAGTGAATGGGCAATCTACTTTCTGATGCCCCTTCTATCTCTGCTGGACAGAAGCTTTCCCTCAATTAAAAAAAAAAAAAAAAAAAAAAAAAAAAACTGCTGTAAGTTTCTGATTGCCACAGACCAGCAGGACCATAACTTCTCTCCAAAAGGATATCATGAATTAGCCATGACCCACACAGCATAGGGTCCAAAGTGGGAGATAAAGAAAAGACAAAGAGACCAAGACTATTCTTTTTTATTATTACTGTTACATTTTAAGTATACAATATAATGACATTCATCATTGGAAATTTGTATGACAAAACTATTCTTGAAAGTTGGAACCAGGTGGAACCATAGCTTGTTGAGAGCTAATAGCTGCCTGGAGTTCCATGCACTCTTTATAGTGGAAAGCAGCTGGGCATGGTGGCGCATGGCTGTAATCCCAGCACTTGGGAGGCTGAGGCAGGAGGATCGCTGTTAGTTCGAGACCAGCCTGGGCTACACAGTGAGTGCTAGGTCAGTCTCAACTACATAGTGAGACCCTGTCTGGGGGAGGGAAAAACAAAGAAAAAAAAAGAAAAAAATATATATATAGTGGAAAGCAAAGAAGAGAAGGCAGGGCAAATAGTGCTACATGGCTTACATGGCCTAGGTGGAACATAGCACACATTCGTTTCATGATTGAGCTTGCACAAGAAGGGAAAATGTAAGGATACATAATGCAACTGTCTTCTGGGGCAGTGCCATCCAGGGTCTATAATATGAGTCAAACAGACTAGGGAGGAGAAAGGGAGTAGGAAGGAGGCAAAGGGCAATCTTCAAGCTCAGCCTGTGGCACTCCAAAATTACAAATGATGTTATGGTTTAACAGTAACACTTTCAAAGGAATTTTTGTCAGCAGAAGAATAGTTTTCAGAAGAATGGTTACTATTGAATGTGATGAGGGAAATTTCTTTATTCCATGATATTGTGATGCCATTTTATTTTTGGCAATCATATTTTCTGAGACAGGGTAGTGCAAGCTGGCCTCAAACTCAAGGTGATCCTCCTTACCTCAGCATCCTAAGTGCTGGGATTATAGGCATGTGCTGCCATGCCTGGCCATCATTGTTTTGACTAATAAACTAAAATACTGGCATGAAGCAAAACCTAACTCATAAGTGTGTGTGTGTGTGTGTGTCTATACACAATGGAGTACTATTCTGCCATAAAGAATAACAAGCTTGAGACATTTCTAGCTAAATGGATGTACCTTGAAACCATACTCTTAAGTGAAATAAATGAGACACACGTTTAAATACCACATTGGTTTTCTGGTGTTGTAAACCAGTAAGGGCCAAAATGTTTAGCAGATATTGGGAAATGTGAAGAAGATGTTCAAATGATAAGGGAAATGAGGGTGTAGGGGGAAAGGAAAGGACAAGAAAATAAAAGGAAAAAATGCAAACAAAGCTTTTGTAAATGAGGGGAAAGGGGGTTAAAGAGAGGGGAGGACAATGGGGAAAAAGCAAGATATGTACAGATGCAAACTGTCTACAATGAATATTATGTATATCTAAAATGTACCAATAAAATTTTAAAAATCTAACAAGAAAAATGAACAGTTGTGCCTGGGTTTCATGGACAGGTCATTCTTCCTCCCTAACCCTCCACTGCTGATCTTTTGCTGTTCTTGAAAGCTGCTCCTCTCCTTCAGGTCAGGGACAAGAGAGCCTGAAGGAACAGGGCTTTCCTGAGGACTTCCCCAGTCAGGTGCCTTCTGCGCTGAGATCTACCTATACACCGGAAAGCCAGACTTCACTCTCAAGTCCCTCTACTGACGTGATCCTTTCCTTCAGTCCAAATGATTATGCCTGCCTCTTTCTCAGGATCATGCAGGCAGACAGACTTGGCTTTGAGTATGCCATCTCTCCACAACTCAGAGAAGCAGTGTGTCTTTTTGTTCTAGCCTGAGCCCATCCTGAAGAGGCTGCTCAGGTAAGACAAGGAAGCTTATTCCAGACGGTAGCTCGTATAAGCATTTTCCTTGATTAAAGAGCACAACTTCAAGTGAGAAGGCAGTTGACAGGTCCATAGCTACCTTCTGCAGGCTCTTGGTTACTGAAATGACAAGGACATATGCCTTATTCTGCTGGTTCCCTAAGTAGGGAGCCCTTCTAGCCACCCAGTGAACATGTGTTCTCTTGTTGTCGATTTCTTTTTTTTTTGAGACAGGGTCTACCCATGTAATTCAGGCTGAACTTATAGTTCTCCAGCCTCAGGCTGCTGAAGATTACAGGTATTCACCATCATGCTGGCATGGAATTCTTCCTCACTGATATTCACCCTCCTAAATTGTAGGGGGACTAAGCAATGAACTATTCTTGTTCAGTGGCTGCCATATCCTAGACCATTAGCTATGTTTTGTTTTGTTTTTTTTTGGTTTTTGTTTGTTTGTTTGGTGGTGGTGGTGCTGGAGATCAAACTCAGCATTTCACACATAGGAGGCTAACACTGTGCCACCACCAAGTACACTCCCAGTCCTGATTACATGAATTAAAAATTAATAGGAGAGATGATATTTTCCTGTTTTATATATGAAGAACTAGATGCCCCAAGTGATTATATAGCTGAGGACACATGGCTGGAAATGTAGGACTCACAGTTGTCTTCCTGAAAGTCCATGGTTTATTGACATCTGAGACATCACTCTATTGGCATCTGAGACTAATCCATCAGATTCATCCGATTTGGAGTTTGAGGTTGGTTGTGGAGTTGAGGAGCTCATCTTGTTCTGGGAAGGTGCAAGTTCCTTTACACAATCTTGTCTTTCTTTTGCATTTATTTTCCCCTCTCCTCTGCTTACACTTGAATGACAATACTCTCTTGCTTGGCAGGGACCCTTCAGCATCTCACCTTAGCAGCCCCTGACCTGCTGGCATGCAGAAACTATTTCTTACCTTTTCTTCCCTCATCTGAACCTACAGGAATATGTGGACAAGGACATACCATTCCTAGGAAGTAGTTATCTCCAAGGCAACAAATAAGGATGGTGAGGTGAATACACAGGTAGGTGGTGTCAAAATCAGGATGAAGTGTAGGAACTGCTGCCTAATTCCAAGATTCACTTTTTTTGGCCCTGTACCAGCACCCAAAATCCGATAATAGAACAGTACCACCAAAATAAGGTGGAAAATAGTTTATAAGTCTTAGAAATCTGGTATGTAATTTACACATGCAGTACCTATTAATTCCTATGTGAAACGGGCAGCGTTTCTTGTTCGTAGTAGGGATCAAATCCAGGGCCTTGGTGCTGGTCAGCTCCCTACCACTGAGCAACATCCGCAGCCTTTTAAATTTTGACACAGGAGGGGGCTAAATTTTTGGCCTCAAACTAGCAATCTTCCTACCTCAGTCTCCCGGTGTAGCTGGCGTCACAGGCTTGTGCCACCATGCCGTGATAATTCATTTAAAGACAATAAAGTCGCGTCTAACAGGAAAACGTTCCGCACTACTCACTTTTTAAGACATGGTGGTACCTCGCTTCTGGTCATTAAGTGTTTCTCGAGGGCGGACAAAAGGGCGGCACTTCCCTAGGGCATCTACAGCAGTACCCAACAAACAGTCGGTCGAGGGAGGTCTGTGTGAGAATTAAAATTAAATAAAATTTAAAACCCAGCCGCCCGACCCCACTGGCTACGCCCCAAGGCCTCAGACTCCCGGGCTAGGGAGCCGCGTAGTACCGGCTTCTCCACCAGAGGGCACCCTGAAGCCCGCCAGCACCACAAGCAGCCGCCGGAAACAGAAGGGTAACCGGCCGGAAATAAGAGCGAGCCCGCCCCTCTATCGGCTACTTCCGGCTCCCCTCCCCCGGGTGCGCGGAAGTGCTGCGGGGATGGCGGGAGGGCGGAGCGGTGGGGCCCTTGCGGCTGCGCGCTCAGGGGCGCCTCCCTGCCCTGCACCGTCGCCGGCGGCCCCCGCGCTCGCGGCCTCCTCGCCCATGATTCAGAAGACTCGGGCCGAGCTGCTGCCTCCGCAGGGCATCGGAGACAGTGTGAGCACGCTGCTGGTGAGGGGCGTGGTTGGGCTGCGGGCGTCGGCGCGGGGCGTGGCAGAGGGTGGTGTCGGGAGAACGACAGGTGGCCACCCTCTCGGTGTCCCGATTTGGGCTCCCGAAGCTGAGGGACCGGCCTTGCCACGCCTCCTGCGCTCTGGATTGGCTACCGCGCGGCCGCCCGCGGTGTTTGGCGGGCCTGGGGCGGGGCCAGAGTAGCGCCTCCCTCTCCCCCCGCCAGTCCTCTGGGCCTAGGCCAACAGTTTGCAAATTAGTCAAGTGCTACTCTTTGCTCTTTTCTTTTTTGTATTCTTTTGTGATTACCCACCTCCCTATACCTTGAATAGCTTTGAGCTAATTTTTAAAAATTAGGTCGACTCTGCAGGGCCAGAAGGGTTAGTTCATGGGTAGGGAGTGCTCTTAGCCTGCTAGAGTACTTGGGTTCCATCCCCAACCCCAGCACCGCAAGGTGGTGATAGGAGCTTAAACCCACTCTCGAGGTGGGGTCCACCACTGACAAAATCTTGAGGCCATTCAATTACCTGCTGTTTTGTTTGTTTTGCCCCTTAGAGATTAATTTGTATTACTGGTGTACTTTTGATATCTGCTATGCGTTAATAGACCTTGAAAATTACAAAATTCTTAAAGTTATGGGCTCTACTCAACAATATTCTTTAAGCCAAAAGTATATCCAGTCACTGCTGTGAACATAAATACGTTGAAAAGGTAGTTTAGGGGCATGGCGTGAAGGTGAGTTTAAACCACAGCGTTAAATTAGGTGCAATCCCTGTGGGAGCACAAAGTAAGCAGCGCTCAGGAGAACTGCTCAGAAGCTGTAGCGGCGTCATTCCCATAGTCTGTCTGTAGCAAAGGGCCAGAGGGAGTTTAAGCTGTCCTGGGATATTCAGAGTCCATTGCTCTTTATCCTTTGGAATTTTGCTCAAAGGAGAGCCATGTACAGGCTTCCTCATAGATGACAAGTCATTCATTTATCACTGTTGAACACCTGTGTACCAGGCTCCCTGGTCTGTTCTTGAAATGCTACCGCGAACCAGACGGACAGGAGGAGTCCTGACCGCCTTTGTGCTGATCCCTCAGACGTAAAGTAGATGGACACAAGTGCTACTGCAGAAGTCCCAAGGAGGAAAGTTAGGGAACAATAGAAGAACTAGGGCAGAGAGACAATATATCTATTTTCAGGAGTGTGAGGAAGGCAGTTATTATCTGCTATGGCAGAGTTACATTAGAAGGAAGGTGAGCACATAGGCCCAGAAAGCAAGGTGCTGTGTGACACAAGAAGCCCTTGGAGCCAGTGGTTTGTACTTTGTCCTGAGAGAAATATGGAGCAGTTGAAGGTACCAAATTTTTACAAATTTTATTTCCGTGAGTATTAATGACAAATTTATGTGATGCCTATAGTTTCTAATATTTTATCACTATGTTATTATATCTTTTTAAAATTTGGTAACTAAATCCTGAAAAACATTAAATTTCTCATTGAAGGATTTTGCACCAAAATGACTCGCTTCAGGGTAGAGAGTGGATTAGAGGGGTCCAAGAAATTAGGTGGTGAGGTGGTGGCCATCACCAAGCAGGAGATGGTGGGGCTCAGAGCCAGGATGAATAAAGGAAGTTGGTGTTTGGGAGCTGTTCAGGAAGTAGAATGAGCAAATGTGGAGAAAAGAAGTCAAGGAGGAGGCCTGGGTTTGTGGTTTGGGAAGCTAGGTAGATAAATGGCAGGGTATTTACTGACGGGGCGCCTGGAGGAGGAGAAGGTTGGGTGCAAGGGAGAGCTCTGGAAAGAGGCTGCCTGTGCGGATAGAAGGATGGACATTGAAGCTATGGGAGTGTTGGAGTGGGGGAGCATGGTGCAGATATGTATTATTTAAAATAAAAAAATTGAAAAGGGCTGAATATATAACTCAGTGCAAAGACTCTACATTTGACCCTCAGCACCACACATACAAGAAAGAAGTATCTAGTAGTGGTTGGCAGAGCTACCCACATAAGGAGTGTCCTAGATTTTCATGTCAGCCTGAGAACATAGAAAAGAGAGTGTGAACTTTGAGTCCTGGCCAATAGCTTCAACCCTGTGACTTAGGGCACATTTGCAACTAGTGTGAACTTCTATTTTATCAGTAAAGTGGGTTTAAATCCTAGCATGTAAGGTGATTTTTTGGCTTGGTGGATGTAGATGCCTCACCCACTGATGCCCCAGGAGTAGGCTGGAGGGTAGATTGGCACAACTGAGGCTGGAGACTGGCAAGGAGGCCCTCAGAATGGACATGTGAGGATGTAGAAGTAGTCAGCACCCAAATGGAGTTACTTATATAAAAAAACCAAACTAAATGGAGCCAGGCAGGCTCACGTGCATATTTGTGTTATAATAATAGCTATCACAAGAGATGGTTTAATCACAACCTTGCAAGTATCTTTGCTAACTACGACTTTTCAGTCAAGGTCATTTCTGTGAAGAAAAGTTCTTAGTAGTGGCCAACCAGAAAATGTCAGCTCCTGCAGGGGAGTTTCTGTGATCAGTGTGTTTTGTTTTAAAACAGCTTATGTGGACTTCCTTTTTGCTTTTTAAAAAGCTTCCCCTTGCAATAACTTTCACACATGCCTGTCATCTGAGTGGCACACATACTGCAGACTTGCAAGTCCCCTGCTCATTCCTGAACAAACTCATTATTCTTTAGAGAGGGTCTACTTGTTAATAGGTTGATACAAGGAAGACTTAGGGGCCAGTCAGTAGAAACAGTCACAAGATAGAGTGAATTTTGTGTGTCTCCCAGGTCTCCAGCCTGATGCCCGGGATGTCCCAGTGTGGACTGCAGAAGAGGCAAGTGTGTGAAGAACTGTTGGCCACGTTTCCACTTTAGACCTGTTGAATTTGAGATGCTGGTAGTCCCTGGAGGGAAGGTAGAGGTCTTAAGAAACTGGAGAAGGGCTGGAAAGGATGCCTGTGCTGTACAGGGTGTAACAACCCCTCAGAGCTGCTTTAGTGGAGAAGGTTGAGCTGGACAGCGACTGAGGGCCTGAGAGTGACTGGCAAAGAGAGAATGGAGGTGCTACAATGTTGGGCTGGAAAGATGGAGACTTTGGAGATTGTTTCCAAGCAGAGATGACAGGGAAGGAAGAGGCCCAGGACTCTGTACATCATGGATGCCACAGGACTCATGGATGCTGAAGAACACAGCACTCTGTGAATGTTGCACTTGGCTTGATTTTACCTACTGTTACAAACCACCTGTTAATACATCAGAGACTAGAGGAATGTGGTTGTAAGCTCCAGTATTTAGTTATGTGACTATAGTAAGTCCTCCCCTTAGTCTTTCTTTTTCCCCTTCAGTACTGGGAATTGAACTCAGGACCTTGTACTTGCCAGGCCCTGTGCCACTGAGCTGCATCCCACCCCCTCCCCTTAGTTTTGTAATTGTAGTTATAACTTGCTCACTTGATGGAAATTGGGATGATCTCTCTCCTCTGTGAAACAAGTACTGCAGATTACAGACATTTCAGTTCCTGATAGTAACTATGTGATGTAGTCAATGAAAAACTTTATATTCATCTTATTAATGTTTTAGGGCAACAGTGTGTCATTTATTAAAAAAAAAAAAATAGTGCAAGTGCCACTCGGTGACAGAAGAGGTCTTTGTAGATGGAAGTTACCAAATATTTCCTTGGAGAAGAAAGCTTTTAAAAATGCTTTTCACCCTTGTTTGTGCTTCTACTGGGTCCTAAGGGACTAGGAAGGAAGATACTGCTGTCATGCTAGTACTGGTATGGGGAACCTCAGATGTGTTTGAGTGAGATAGGGTTAGAATCTGAAGACATTCTGCCTCCCAGGTGGTGCCTATGGATAAGCCTATGTGTGTAATAATGCAAGAGCTGAAGAAAGGCAGCAACCCCAGGGTGGCTCCTGCTCAGAGAAGCCGTCTGTGGTTTGCTTAGATCCCAGTGAAATGGGTTGTTGTAATGGAAGAGAAAATTTTAAACAAAGAAAGTCTATAGATTATGCTGAAAGTGATATTTCTTTTTTACACTGTGCTGTGCTTAAAATGACATCTGATTTGACTTGTCCCTATAAATATCCACAGATCCTATAGCCAATAGAGCTTGGAAACCAGTAGGTTAGCATTAACATTACATTTGATTAGTTTTGTTTTTCCAAATATAAAGAAATGATTGGTATCTTTTTTCAGTCAGAACAAACAGAGAAATGTGGTAAGTGACATGGAAATAGATGTGTTGCTTAGTAGGAACAAAATTATTAGCAGTACGAACACCAGAGAGACACACACCACTTAGAGTGCCCAGTGTCCCCACCAACATTCAAGCATGGTTCCCAGCTACAGTTTTCCTTCTCTTAGATGTGAAGACAATATGAGGCACCAGCAAATGAGTAAAAGAGCCTCATAAAGGAAGTCCCTAGTCCAGGTGTGGAGAAAGCTATTTGGTTTACTGTGTAGAGCTGCTGACAAAATGTTCTCTTGTCCTTCAGTTACATCCAGTGATAAAGGCTTTCCTGTGTGGCTCCATCAGTGGCACCTGTTCCACCCTACTTCTCCAGCCTCTGGATCTCCTTAAAACACGCCTGCAGACTCTCCAGCCCTCAGACCATGGGTAGGGCCTGCCACCTGCATTTCATTGAGGAACTGGGTTTAACAGCGTCTTAGATTACTGGAGCATTTTTACCAGTTAATCAGTTTTCATTCTGGTGGATGCTCAGTGAGAAAAATAGACATGCCAAACTTCCATGTGTTTTCTATGTGCTTTTTGCTATGAATGTAGTTTTATATGTGTTGATTTCTTTAATTGAATGGGATCATTTGCTACCATTTCTGTAGGATCTACCTTGATAACATTTTCATTTTATTGTGCTAGCTTGTGATAACTGTGCAGGTATTCCTTGTTTAATGATGGAACTATAGTTACCATGACTAGGTTATTAAATAAATTGATTGGTAAAAGGAATTGTATATAGTATGTGCATTGTGGTATTGTACTGTCTGGGAGTGGGTGGCTTTCTGGAAATAATGTCAGTTTTGAGTGTCTTATTTTGTCCACCTGTGTGGAGCCTAATACAAGAATTATATAAAGTGTGTATAAAATGGGAGGTTATCCCTTGGATTACAGTGTAAATGGACAGTTAGAAATGTACACCTGTCAAGAATAATTCTAGAAGGCACTGAAGAAATTCCTGTTTTAGAAAGTGATATATAAAAATTAGATATGGTAGAATACAACTATAATCCCAGTTACTTGGGAATCTAGGACAGCAGGGCCCAAAGTTCAAAGCCAGCCTGAGCAACTTGCTGACACTGTGTTTCAAGATAAAGGGCTAAGGTTATAGCTCAACATCAGGCCCTGGGTTCCATCTCTACTATCAAAAAAAAAGGAAAAGAAATAAGTAGGGTGAATAAATAGAAGTCTTGGAGCGGGAAGTGGCCTAAGTAATGTTTCTTGTTTCTGTCTTATCTGCCTTCAGGTCCAGACATGTTGGGATGTTGACTGTACTCTTGAAGGTGGTGCGCACAGAGAGTCTTTTGGGCCTTTGGAAAGGGATGTCCCCCGTAAGCAGCTTTCTGGGTGTGGGTTGTATTGTAGCAGCCATCTCTCATTCCTCTTCCCAGCTCCTAGGATACACAAGAGTCAGGAGTGGTCGGGGTACAGTAGTCCCCCCATCTATGATTTTATGTTCTATGGTGTCCACTGCAGCTCAACTCAGTTTGAAAATATTAAATGGGAATCCTGAAAATAAACAGTTCATAAATTTTAAAAGATGCACTGTTTTGAGTAGTTTGATGAACTCTCAGGCTGTCCTCCTTGGTCCCTCCAGTCCAAGAGGTGAGTCATCCCTTTGTCTAGCACATCTGCATGGTATGTGCCACCTCCCATTAGTCATTTCATAGCCATCGCAGTTATCTGGTTGGCTGTTGAGGCACCATAGTGCTTGTTTCAGATAACCCTTATTTTACTTCATAACAGCCCCACCATGCAAAAGTAGTGATTTGGCAATTGGTATGTGTCACAGAGAAGCTGTAAAGCGCTTAGGAGAAAAGGTAAAAGTTCTTGACTTCAGGAGGGAAAAAAGTTCCATACTGAGATCACCAAGATCTATGGCAAGAATGAATCTTCTATCTATGAAATTGTGAAGGAAAAAGAAATTTGTACTAGTTTTGCTATTGCACCTCAAATTACAAATATTATAGTCATATTGTGTGATAAGTACATAGTTAAGATAGAAAAGTCATTAAGTTTGTAGACGTGAACACAGAATGTGTTCTAGTTGATGGCATTGTGTTGTGCTAGAAATCATTGAACCTATATGACAACTTCAGCAAGAGATCCTCTGAAATGAGTGACTCCATTTAGTGCAAGTAAAGGATGGTGACCCAGGTTCAGAAGTAGGTTGGGCCTGAAAAATACAGAAATTACTGAAGCAGCTATATCTGGTAGAAGAAGCTGCTGCTACATTACCAGCAGGACTGAAGAAGTTGGTGAAGGAGAAAAGACACCATCCAAAGCAAGTCTTCAGTTGCTTCGATGATACCAGGCTCATCTACATGAACATGCCCAATAGAACCTGCATTCGTGAAAGTGCTAAGGAGGCAACAGTACAAATACAGAGGGATGTGCTTGAAGTAACTTGTTGAGTCATGTACAGAGGAAAAGAAACTGGAGCACAGCCAGCGATACAGACGTCAAAATTTGCTGAGGTGTTTCAAATTACATAGACATTAAAGGACAAAGTTATGTAATATCCTTGGACAGAATGCTGCATTAAAGTCATGCGAATGATCACGGGGGTGGGTAGAGCCTCTTTGATGAATTAAAGCGATAACAGCTTCCAATTACAATATTCTTCCAAAAGGTTTCCACAGAAAACCTAACTATTAAGGATTCCCAACCATCAGTATCATCTGCTCTTGACATCCAAACATCAACATTGTCATTGCTTGATGATCCTCCTTCTAACGTATTGTCAAAAGGTCAAGCATCACAGTGCCTGTGTCATTCACACCACTTCATCCCTTCACATAGGCATTTTATCATTTTTTATCACCAAGAAAGGGGAGTACAGTATAATTAGACAGCAAGAGATACTCACACAACTTTATCATAGTGTATTCCTGTAACCTTTCTTTCCCCACTCAATGTTAGTATTGCTGCCACTCCTTAAATTACCTGCATTTAGGTCATCTTGGCATCTCTTGGGAAAACCTAGCTAGTACACTGTCTTACAGTGTTGTTCTTTGATTTTATCATTCCTCCCTTTTTCTGCAGTCCATCGTGAGATGTGTCCCTGGTGTTGGAATCTACTTTGGCACTCTCTACTCTTTGAAACAGTATTTCCTGCGAGATCATCCTCCCAGTCCCCTGGAGTCAATCATACTGGGCATGGGCTCTCGATCTGTTGCAGGGGTCTGCATGTCGCCCATCACAGTGATCAAAACACGCTATGAGGTGGGTTTGCTTTAGTGCTTTAGAATGAGTACACAGAGCTACTAGCTCCTGGGGTAGTAACCACTGGTGGTCAGCTCCTGGTTTATATACTTACTGACTTAAGAGTTAGATATTGTCAGATGCCTTGTTTGAAGGCTCTCCAAACTACATGTGAGCTAGAGCCACAGTGTCTTAGGGATGCTGCAAAACCTGAATTTGTGTTGGGTCATTGCTCAAGTGCAGTTTCTCTGTCAGTTACTTAAATCTGTGCTCCTTTTGTAGAGTGGGAGGTATGGCTATGAGAGCATCTACAAAGCCCTGAGGAGCATCTATCTCAGCGAGGGCCACCGAGGCCTCTTCAGTGGCCTGACAGCCACTCTCCTTCGTGATGCACCCTTTTCAGGAATCTACCTGATGTTTTACAGCCAGACCAAAAGCATAGTGCTCCACGGTATGGGTAAAGGAAGATGTGGTGGGAAAGAGGTGTCTGCGAGATAGTGGGTTCTCTGCTTTCTCTGGGAGATGAGACTTCATTAGTTTTATGTGGGCTTGGTGTTGGGATGTCAAGGTGGAAGTGACAGATTTAGCTCTTGCCCTTGGAATTTATATCCTCCTACGTCAAAGAGTACTTGTGCTGCTATAATTTTGGAGTGGGGAGGCTGCTGGTTGAAAATTAAAATACTGTTTTGCAGAGGTCCTGCAACAGTATATCCCAGACTTGTCCATACAACTCTACCTCGTCAGCAGCCTTGGGGTACAGTGTGAGAGTCTGTATTTTTCAAGAAGCATCTGGTGTGATCCTCATCACACAAGTTTGGGAAACATGGATGCCTTAGGATATTTGTGTGTGTGTGTGTGTGTGTGTGTGTGTGTGTTCGTTTCTTTGTTTGTTTTTGACACATGGTTTTGCTGTGTAGTTCAGAGTGGCCTTGAACTCACTATGTAGTCTAGGTTGGTGGCAAATTTCCTGCCTCAGCCTCCCAAGTGCTGGGATTACAGGCATGCACCACCATGCACAGCTTGACTTAGGATTGTGAGGGAAAAAAAAAACATTTTCACCTTCCTTGCCATGTTGCCAGTTAAAGTTTTTTGAAACCTTTGTGGACAAAGTTTGTGGGCAGTAAATATCCATCTTAAGTGGAGGCTGCATTTAGTAAGGTATATGGGGTAACTAGGAAAGTTGGAATATTCTCCTTCAAGACCAGTGGTCAGCTGCAGCCAGGGTGCTTTGAGGGATTTGCTGCTTCTCCTATGCACAGTAGGTATGACCTGCACTCAAGACATTTTGTGACAGAAAAGAATGTCAGTGGCGGTAAGGAAGAATGAAAGAGTGTGTGTGTGTGTGTGTGTGTGTGTGTGTGTGTGTGTGTGTTGCTAAGGATTAGACGCAGGGCCTCACCCGTGTACTATGTTACTGAGCTATATTCCTGACTGCTGGGAGTATATTTTTAATTCTCACTTTTCTTTATTTCATACTTGGAAATAATTTTAAACTTACAAAAAAAACCCCACAAAAACGGCACTCTTTCTGAGTCTAAATTGTAGACTCACTGCCCCTTTATCCTTAAATACCTCAGTATGTATTTCCTAAGAACAAGGACAGTCCCTTATATCTTATTGAATTTAGGAAGTATAACATAGATAGATACAGTTCTTTGTATTTCTATTTCAGTGGTTGTCCCAATAATGTATTTTGTGGCAATTTTTGTTCATTTCTAGGAGCATAGACCATTTGTTAACACCTAAAATCTAGTATTATGTGATGTGTTTAGATGATCGGATTTGGCTACACATTTTTAGAAAGTAAACCACGTATGTGGTGCTATGTTTATATCAGGAGGCTTCTGATACTGTGTCCTATTTTGGATAACTTTTCATCACTTGGATCTGTTAGTGTCTGCCAGGTGTTTCCCCTGAAAACTTACAGCTTTTCTTTTGTAACTTCCTAGAATCTTTGTGGGAAGATAACTTTGAATCCTGTTTCTTTTACCTGTATGTTCTAGCATCTTTAATGAATTGTGATCATGGTTTTGAAAAGGATGCTTTTCTGCCTCCATTATTCCATTCCACATGTATTAGTTGCATCTTTAAAAATTTAGTTTGAATTTGTATCTTTCTGAGTTTTGGAAAGAATGGATGGGCAACTTGCATTGATGGGCTACTTTCTCTGATGAATGTGAGATTTCTAACTGCAGGTTACATTTGCTCTATTTCAGACCAGTCTGATGTAGCCTTCATTCCTGTTGTGAATTTTAGCTGTGGGATATTTGCTGGTATTCTGGCCTCGTTGTTAACTCAACCTGCAGATGTTATCAAAACTCACATGCAGCTCTCCCCAGTGAAGTTTCAGTGGATTGGCCAAGCAGTAACACTCATTTTCAAAGTAAGATTGTAGCATAAGTACTTGTTCTTGTTGTGGTTTAGGAATTCTCTCTAAAGCAGTTCTTGTCTGTTGCTCATATTAGAATCATTTGGGGACCTTCTATAAATGTATATTTCCAGATAAAAATCCAGGATGGTTGGGGACCCAATATCAGTCATTTTCTCAGAGGCTAATGGTGTATGTAGCCCACTGGTAGTACATGTGCTTATTACATGGGAGGCCCAGGGTTCAGTCCCTACACCAAAAAAGAAAGAAAAAAGTTCTTTTAAAGATCCTCAGTAATTCCAATGTGTTGCCCAGATTAAGAATCACAAAACTGGCCTGGGGATTTAGCTCAGTGGTTCCACAGTATCCCAAGTTCCATCCCTAGTACCAAAAAGAAGAAAGGAAAAAAAAAAAGAATCACAAAGCCTATGTTTTTCTAAGACAGGAGGTAGCTACGTCAGGACTTCTGGTGCATCAATATGCAGATGGCTTGATTCTACTGAATCAGAAAATCTCGGTGGCTCTAAAACTAATTAAGGATCTAAGACAATAATCAGAAAAAAGCACGCATTTTATTTTGTTCTAGCAATTTCCTCTGGTACAAATGGGTACGTGGTGTTATTGAAGCTAAGAAGTTCTAGATGTAAGGGGTACTAGTGCACTATTAAAAAGTAGTGCTTTTAAAACCAAAAAAGCATTGGCCCTTTTGGAACAAGTTATATTTTTCAGTGTTTGTGAAACTGCAAATCATTTTAGATTCAGGGAGGAAGAAGTGTTCTGGGGCCAGAGCCTGGCATGGTGTAACACACTTAGAATCCCAGCACATGGGAGACTGAGGCAAGAGGATCACTGGGAGTTCAAGGCCAGCCTGAACTGCATAGCGAGACCCTGTCTCAAAAAAAAACAAAAAACAAAAAAAAAAGGTAGGGCCACCAATAGAACGTGTAGTGAATTCCTGAGTTCGATGCCTGGTACCAAAAAAAAACACCTTTGAGTACATATAGTGAATTCCAAAAAATATGCCTTTCCTGATAGACAAATAACAAGAAAGCACTTTTTGCTTCGCCCTGGATCCAGGATCCAGGGCTTAGCAAATAAACCTTTATCTGAATTTCATCTGCCACTGTGGCTCAGAAGTTCTGTGCAGTTTGCAAACTGTACAGCTGTCCACAGCAACCCTGCATATGCTAAGGGGGCTGAGGGTGTATTTCTGTTAGAAAACATGCTTAGCACAAGTTTGGGTTCAGTCTTTTGTATCTCTCCCCCAAAGAGCTTTTTCACTAAGAAATTCCCCTAGATAGAGCATAGCTAAAAATGTAAAGACTAGCAACTGCTCGAAAAGATTCTTTTTAAGTTTATTGGTAATACTCTTGGACTCTTGTCACAGATCTGGCATGAAGTTTAAGACTCAAAAAATGGAGCAATACAGCGACACTCTGGTGTCAGATAGGTAATTCTATTGTTACTTTGCTTCTGGAGTTTGACATTTATTTTCTTCATAGGTCTATGGGCTGCGTGGCTTCTTCCAAGGCAGCATCCCACGGGCCCTCCGCAGAACTCTGATGGCAGCAATGGCATGGACAGTCTATGAAGAGATGATGGCAAAGATGGGCCTAAAGTCCTGACAGGAAAGGATGGGAAAGAGTGTACTGTCATCCTGCTTATTTGTTGCCAAGTGCTGCTTTATTGCACTCTGCAGTCAGGTGAAGTCTTGCCTGGAGACAGGCAATAACACTGTTGCTTTGGCTTCCATTCAGGGAGATAGAGGATCTGACTGGAGCCCTCAGTCTTCCAGAAGAGGAGTCACCAGTACACATAGCACCCTGGGGAGTTGGGAGCAAGGTCTGCACACCCCACATGGATACTGGCAAGGCATTTTCAGAGAGAGCTTTGCCAAGTGGCCTCACCTGCAGTACAGTCTTCTTTGGGATGAGCTTGTACAAGGAGTCACAATCCAGAGAAACAGGGCCTCCTGCCATCTGAGGGACTGCCCTGGGGAAGACAGCATCTAGGTAGCATTCACTGTCAGCAGCCTGCAGATTGTGTCTGAGGTGCTTTCCTGAGGAGGAAGAACAGAAGTCATTATTTAATTGATCCTTGGCCAACTTAGAGCCTCTGGAGAATGGGGCAGTGACTTATGTGCCTCCAAATGTACAAAGAAAATTGTTTGATCTTAGCTATAGCAAGCACTATGTCAAATCTAAGCTATTCTGGCATTTTCTACAACTAAAGTTCAGATGAATAAAGTAAAGCACTTTATTAATGAAAGCTGTTTAGAAATCCTAAATAGTGTATTTTGTCAGTCTGTTGAAAACAACAAAATAGTTCTAGGTTGAGTGACAAAGTTATTTTTTTAAAGTTTAAAAAACTATTTTATATATTCTATGGTTCATCTATTTCAGATGTACAGTTCAGTGATTTTTAGTAAATTTACTGATGATACAACCATCACCATAAGTCAGCTTTAGATCATACTCATCCCCAGGACATTCTGTCCCTCCCTCTTTATGACTTCTCGTTCTGCAGCCCACTACTCATCTGTTCATAAGTTTTTTCTGGACGCTTACACAGTGGAGTCATAGAATTTGTAGTCTTTTGCCTTCCAGCTAGAATGTTTCTGAGATTCACTCATGATGTGGCATTTTCAATATTTTGTTTCTTATGTGCAAATATTTTTATTGTATGCATGTACAGTTAGACCTCAGCATCGAGAGACACCAAAATCCAAGGATTTTTAAGTTCCTCATGAAAAAAATGTATTTACATAAAACCTATATATTTTAAATAATTTGTTACTTTAATACCTAATACAATATAAATACTACAGTTATGTACTATATTGAGGAATAATGACAAGGAAAAAAGTTCACTATACACATGTGGACACTACACAGTGAACTATACTGTATTCATTAATCACTTAATGGGTTTCCACTTTGACAGTATCATAAATAATGACTCTATGAATGTTCGTGTACCAGCCTGTGGTTGTATGCTTCAGTGTACTCAGTGTGACTGAAAAATATGGTGAATGTTTGAAAACATGTATTACTGTAAAAACATTGCCATTCACTCCCTCTCAAAATACCCCACCTTGCTTTGAACACATTTATCCCATCATTCTTGCTGCTTTCCAAAGCATTCTGGAAGTTCTCTTTCATGAACTCCTTTTTACATTGTCCTGGCTGCTTCAGTGTTCTGAATTGATTGAAAATGTTTACCTTTTATGGTCATTTTGACTTTGGGGAAGAGCCAGAAGTGGAGTGAGGATACAATATAATGTCTTTTTTTTTTTTTTAGTTTATTGGTACATTTTAGGTATACAGTACAATTACATCAATGTAATGTACATTAATTATTGGGATCTTGTACCTTTACATGACAGGTCTTGGTTCTCATTTTTTCCCCTTGTCCCTGCCCCCCCTTCACCCCTCCTCCCCTCCCCATTTACAAACACTTTATTTCCTTTTTTTCTTTTCCCTTCTTACCTTTCCCCTACCCTTTCCACTTTCCCTACACCTTTAGCCCTTTTCTTCCTATTTCACATGGTCAATTATCTCTTTAGGATCTTATGTACTATTATAGTTTTTCACACCAGAGAAACTATTCGGTATTTACACATGTGTGTGTGACTTATTTATTTCACTCAGGGTATTTATCTTTCCAAAAGAATTAAAAGAATCATATAACAGTGATATATGCACACCTATGTTTATAGCAGCAGTTTGTAATAGCCAAAACTTGGAAATTGCCCATTTGCCCATCAGTTGGAAACTGGCTAAAGATGTGGTTTTTCAGGGCCGGGGATTTAGCTCAGCAGTGCGGTGGCCTGCCTCGCAAGCGCAAGGACCTGAGTTCAATCCCCGGTACCACCAAAAAAAAAAAAAAAGTGGTTTTTCTATAAAATGGAATACTACTCAGCCATAAAGAATGAGAAATTAGATTCATTCATAGGAAAATACAATGTAATGTCTTTTGAGCCTGCTTTTCCTTTGGCACTCAGCAGCAGGGTTGAGCATACTTTTGATCTTGTGTCTTTAAGACACAACAGAACTTCCAGGGCCAGGGATTTAGTTCAGTGGTGCCTAGCCTATCTTGCAAATGCAAGTTCCTGAGTTCGATCCCCAGTACTGAGGAAAATAAAACAAAAACTTCCAGAGCTGCTTCAGAAAGTGGCAAGAATAATGGGATGCTTTTGAAGTGAGGGGGGAGTATTTTGAAGTCAATCAGTGGCAATATTTTACTGTAGTATATTTAACAATTTAAATACCATATATTTTTATCCACTGTGTAAAACTAGAATAGGTGGGTTATGTGGTGATTCTGTGTTTTATACTTTGAGAAAGTACCCCAGAATGGCCACACGTACTATTGTACATTCCTGGTAGCAGTGTGTGGTGGTTCCAGTTTCTCCACATCCCCTTCAGCACTTGTTGCTAATAACCTGTCTACTATCCAAGTATTTTCTTTCAACTTTGGACAAGCCATGACTTTATCTAGGGAGGAGTGGAGGTCTTGTGGTTAAGAACATGGGCTGTGATCTAAGTGGCTATCAATTAAGGGAGGAAAGGTTTATTTAGCTCACAGTTTGTAGAGGTAAGGACTCCAGTTATAAGATTAGGGCTCACCCTATTCTTTAGGATGACCTCATTTTACTTTGCATATGCAAGCTGGGCATGGTGGTGCACACCCATAATCCTAGCACTTCAGGAGGCTGAGACAGGAAGACCACAAGTTCAAACCCAGCAATTCAGTGAGCTGGCTGAGATCTTGTCTGAAAAAATATTGAAAAAGGCTGGGGATGTAGCTTAATGCAAGCCCTAGGTTCCATCCCCAGTACAAAAACAACAATGAAAAAAACAAATTACATATGCCAATATTTCTAAGTCATATTCAGACACTACATATGATGCGGGGCACAATTCAACTAATACATGTACTAAATTTACTTCATGATTTTTTAAGTTTACAGTAAGTTCACATCATAGATTTTAGATTGAAATACCTTATTCAAAATAATCTGAGTAGGAGGCCCGGGGTTTAGTTCAGTGGTGCTGCTGCCTGCCTTGCAAGTTTGATCTCTGATACCAAAAAATAAAATAATCTGGGTAGGGGTATGGAAGCAGATAGAGGAGGGCCGTAACCCTAGTGGCACCCAAGCACGAGTGGGGTGAGCTTGTGAGCTTTCATGCTGGAGGAAGCAGTAAGGAATGAAAGACAGGGGAAGGAGGTTGAGTGGAGCTGCTGCCTCCCACGTCCTTTTTTCAAGGCTTTTCTAGTCTCTCGACCCTCATCTGCAGGCCAGGGAGCCTGAACCACAGAGGTGCCATGGCAGAGCGGGGTAGACATGCAGATCTGCCCTCTTTACACTGGGCTGGGGAATTTCAGTCACAAGTCCTGTCGAGACTTCATTTGTTGGGGGACAAAGGGTGACAAACACACCTAGGAAAAATGGTATAATTTTCTCTGAAGACTGAAATTTGCCTTTGTGAACATTGATTCCAATGCTAAATGAAACGCCCTTAGCACATATCCCAAGCTGCAAGAACTTATTTTTCCCTTTTCAGTATTTTTTGTGATATTACCGTGTAGTTCAAACAAATTGCACTGGACAAGCCAGAAACGATGCCAAAATTTTATTTGAAAAGTGTTGAGTAAATGAGTATAGGAGAAACCAGCTCGGCAGACCTAAGTTGGGCAGAACAAAGAAAAAAGGTAAAAACTAATATAAAAGTACATGGGGGTGGGGGTGGGAGAAGTACACACTTCCTTCGAGAAAGGCTTCCCAGGCTACCCTATGCACTCACCCATGATAGCGGCTTTTATACCATCCCCCTCTGGTGGGAGCTCCTGTCCTAAGTGTCCCGGGGACTTGTCATTAACAGGTCCCACGTACTGTCCCAGCCAGCTGTGCCACCTCCTTTCTCCTGAATAAGTATTAAAGCTCAGAAATGAAGGCACCAGTGAGCTTTCTTCAGCTGGCTTTGAACTTATTGTCCACTGCCCTGCACTGTTTCAATTTACAACCAACCCATGTTCCTCATTTTAAAAATACTAAAAGGGGCTGGGGATTTAGCTCAGTGTCACCGCACCCACTTCCCAAGCACAAGGTCCCCCGTACTCCCCTCACCCCCCAAAAAAACCTAAAAAATTACCCCCAAAAAGCCACCCACTCTTACATCAATGGTTCTCAGCTTGGCTGCACATTAATTGGGATTATGTAGGAGCTATTTTTAAAACAGTTTCTTCGTTTGGGGTAGGGCCTGTTAAACTCCAACTGAGTCTTAAGGCAGCCAAGGTTGAGACACCACTACCATCTGTTTTGTCAGCTTTTAATGCTGAGCTTCAAAACTTTTTCATGATGGCCCTCATTCTGTAGTTTTTGGCAACATAAAATCAATTATTTTTAAACGGCTGTTACTGTATTGGACAAAATGGATTTTTATTGACATCCTATTGACATATTGCAATCTTTTTCATTGTAAAACTTTTTATATTATCTGTGTATGCTTTTTCATTTTCAGAGAAACTTTCTGTAGGCAAACATTAAAAATATTAATTACTTGTTATCAAGCCGTTCTCCAAAAAAACGAAAAACCACCGCTCCGGGTTAACATTTAGACTCGCGGATGTGAACCATCCGGCGCTGCAGTCAGTACCAGAGAGGCGCGAAGTGCAGGGACAGCGGCGGTGTTTGCTCTGGGTTTTACAGTGTGCTTGGGACCGAATCCAGGGCCTCGGGCAACTATGGGCCGCGGTTCCACTTACGAGACTGCGTCTTCGGCCCCACACCCGCGCCCCAAAGTTACCTCGGCAGCCAGCGCGGGACAGCGACTGCGACGCGGAACCCCGCCCAGTGTGAGCCTGCGCCCGCCTTCCGGAAAGGAAGCCCCGCCTCGGGACGCCCTTCTTCCGCTCGGGTTTCTCTGTCATTGGCTAGAGGTGGACTATATAATGACATCATTTCCGGCGGCCTGTCCTTTCCTCGTTGCCCAGGCGGGGTCCATACGGCGTTGTTCTTGGTGAGTCGTCTGTGGGTCTCCCATCGCCTCTTAAGACCGCCAGAAAGAGCTTCGTGGGCGAAAGGGATGCGAAGAGCGGAGCAAAGCCGGTCAGGCTGGGAGTGCGCTTGGTCGCGGCGCGTTTTGCACGTGGCCGGCTCGGCCCGCCGCAGCCTGTCAACAGTTGAGGTGGGGCCGGCAGAGATCGCGTCCTTGAATCACGCCGCTGGCCGTCGGGCCCCAGCTCCCAGCGGCGATCGAGCCCAGGCGCTCATTTTGACCGGCTTTCTGGCTAGTTGAGTCATAGTCTACTAGCGAGGCAGCTCTTTAGGGGAAGGGCCTGAGGTAGAGTTGCGTTTTCAGCCATATTGATGGGAACTGAAACAAGAATGAAGAGTGAACTAGGGCTTTGGACCAAGGATGAACTTCTTCAAGGAGTATAGAATGCAGCACCCTCCCTGCCAGAAGATTTACAGCCACTCCATATTAAGCTGCAACGTAACCAGTTTGCTGCTAAAATCTGTTTCTACAAACCCTACATGTTGAAAAACTGGGTCAGAGATTCTGAGTTCCAGTTGGTCGTTGTAAACACAAAGAGCCACGTGTGGCCACTAAACGACTGAAAATGCCCATGCCCTGCTTATGTATAATTATCTCTGGATTGAGGGGTCATGCGGTCACCCACTCAGGACCCCACCTTAAAACCCAAGAGCTATTCTTCTAGTGAAGCTTCCCAGCCACCTAATGTAGTTCGCAGTTTAGTTACTCAACTTTCGTGGAAGAAGCACAAGCTTGCTACAAATGGCATGGAGTAATTCTGAAATACCTGCTTACAGTCTTTTAGAAATACCTGAAACCTGTTGACCTTATATACCCCCAGATGCGATGCTTTTTTCACATTTAATTACCTTTGCTTTTCCACAATTTTTCCTTCACTTGTATGTACTTTCAAAAGTATGAAGAACTGGGCTTGGTGGCATATGCCTGTTAATAGCGTTTGGGAGGCTGAGGTAGGATTGCTTCGAGTTGAAGGCCAACCTGGACTACGTATTGAGACCCTGTCTCCACAGCCCTCCCCCCAGTATAAAATTTAAACTGCTGCTTTCTGGTTTTATTACTTTGATGTTCTGTAGTCCATACTGCTTTTCTTTGCAAGATTTGCTTCATTTGTAGTGTGTGACATATGTGGGAGTGTTCTATTTCCCTCCTGATACTCTTAAACTCAGTGCCTCACGTAGAAGGTAAACTAATTTTTTTTTTTTTTCAGATTCCCATCGTAACTTAAAGGGAAACTTTCACAATGTCCGGAGCCCTTGATGTTCTGCAAATGAAGGAGGAGGATGTCCTCAAATTCCTTGCTGCAGGAACCCACTTAGGTGGCACCAACCTGGATTTCCAGATGGAACAGTATATCTACAAAAGGAAAAGTGATGGTCAGTTACTACTTCGATTTTTGTTATTTTAGCTGTATGTACAAGTTGCAGTTGTGCCATTTTAATAAGCAGTACTGTTGATCGTGGTTGGGAGGAAAGTTTCTAAGCTCTAGTGGAAGAGTCTGGCAATTGCTGAGTTATGGGGCTTGATTGGATTGTAAGAAGGTATGAAAAGTGAAGACAAGTTCCTGTTAGGGCCTTCTGTTCCATAGATACTGCAACAGGTGTATGGGACTGAATTCTGAGTGGAAACTAGGACAAGAGGTAGGAATAAGCATTAGTAGAACTGGAGGAGAGGTTGGCTGTGGTAAGGATGTAAGGGGCATTAAGTTAACAAGTTACTTTCTCAGCACATTGCCGCTAAAAGATGATATCATGGGAAAAGTGCCAAGAGGCCTAATGGTTGGTACAGAGGGAAGAAAGGAAAATACGAACTTTGCCAACTGAGTCACATTGCACATTATTAAAGCCCAGGTGGAGGCCAGTCTTGGCCAGTGAGCTTCTGGGTGTCGGAAGTGTGCTACATTAATGGCAGGATTTTCACTAACAGCAATAGAGCCAGCCTCTGTGACTGGAGTTTGATAGTACTTGCTGCCACATACTCTGCTTTATTCACTGCCTTTAAAAATTCCATGTACTCAAAAGTGCAAGGTCCTGAGTTTGATCCCCAGTACCAAAAGAACAAACAAAATATTCCATGTAGCTGGGTACAATGTGTGCTTGGCATACATGAAGTCCTGGATTCAGTCCCCGATTCCTAAACATGTATGTTCCCACCTAGGAATCTACATCATAAATCTGAAGCGGACCTGGGAAAAGCTTCTGCTGGCAGCACGAGCCATAGTCGCCATTGAAAACCCTGCTGATGTCAGTGTCATATCCTCTAGGAACACTGGCCAGGTTTGTGAACCCATGCTTGTTTTTATACAAATAAAGCTTATTTCATTTCAGAAGATTTTCGTAGGGTAGGATACTAGTCCTCCTCTCCCAATCTTAAGGATCTTTGGTGACTTGAAAATGTCTTGAATATTTTTTTTTAATGATTAGCAAGATCAAACTTTTTTATTCTTTTTGCTCTGGTTCTGTTTTGAGGGGTTTTTTGTTTTTGTTTTTTTCCTCTTGAGAAAATTTAGATTTATTTAAGTCAGTTACAGATTGACGTCAGAGTTCTAGAATAATTTCTTTCACCCCAATTTTTGGCAAATTTAAAAATTACAGAGCAGCAGCATTTTTTTCAGCATTGATGATAACACAGGTTCTCTGAGTGGTTTTTTTAATTTGATTTTTGAGACAGGGTCTCATGTCTTCTGCAGGCTGGTGTGGAATTCAAGAGCAGTCCTTCCTCAGCCCTCCTGGGTGCTGGGTTTACAGATGGGTACTATAACACCTGGCCCCCTCAATTTTATGTGCAGAATTGTGTCTAGACCCCTGTAGTTTGGTGTGATAGAAGAAAGTTTTTAATTATTGTTGTAGAATGAACTGAGTGACTGCTTGTTTGCCTCGGTGAAAATTAACGGCTTGCCTAGGTTGTACCAGGCAGAGTTGTCTGGGTACTTGGACTATAGCAGAGAAATCTCTGTGGAGAGGGAAAAAGGGATGGGCACAGAAAGGTATAGCAGCTCTGATTAAATTTGACCAGGCACCAAAAGTATTTGATAGCAGCACTATTCTGTTACATATATTCATTTCATGTGAGCCTATAATTTGCCAGTCACTTGAGAAAGTAATCTCTTTGGTACTTAAACCCAGGCATGGTGGTAGACCCCTGTAATCCTGGTACTCTGAGAAGATGAGGCAGGAGGGTTCCAAGTAGAAATAAGGGAGCCAATAAGACATCTAAGGGGAAGTGAGGGTGGAGAGCACATTTCAATAGGCAGAAAGGCACAGAGTTAGGGACATGTAGATAGGTGCCACTGAGCTGTACTCTTGGCTCCTAATGCTTTAAATGTTAATGTGAAGGGTTTTTTGTTTGTTTGGTTGGTTGGTACTGGGAATCGAACTCAGGTCCTTGCACTTGCAAAGCAGGTGCTGGAACCACTGAGCTAAATCCCCAGCCCTGAAGGCTTCATTTTTGAAGAAAGGGTGTGAGCAGTTCTGCTAGATAGGCTGGGTTATTTCAGAACTGGCGTTAGCACACAGTGTTCCTGTGAACCGCTCCTATTCTTTGTTTCTTGTCTCAAAGAGGGCTGTGCTGAAGTTTGCCGCCGCCACTGGAGCTACTCCTATCGCTGGCCGCTTCACTCCTGGGACCTTCACTAACCAGATCCAGGCAGCCTTCCGAGAACCACGTCTTCTGGTAGTTACAGATCCCAGGGCTGATCATCAGCCCCTCACGGAGGCATCTTATGTCAATCTGCCTACCATTGCTCTATGTAACACAGATTCTCCTCTGCGCTACGTGGACATTGCCATCCCTTGCAACAACAAGGTAACAATTTCAGGATCTGGTTTGCACATGCGTGCTCTGGAAAAAAGAACTGGATGTTCCTTTGCACATTGTTAGAGCTTGGAGTTGAGGCCACTGGCTGGCCTGTGGACTCCCAAGTGTAGGTAGTGTGCTACACGAGCAGCAAGATTTTCGCTAACACTTCACTCTGGTCCAATGGGTGGAGCTTGATAGTAATTCTTGCTACAAGTATAGTGTTCATGTGTAGCAGCTTTAAGGAGAGATAAGAACATCTGAAAGATGGCCTGTTTTCTGGCATTACTTGGCCTTTATGTTTTCCAGGGACACTGCATTTCCACAGAGGTAGGTTGTGTGTGGTTCAAATTGGTCTGCTTGTTAACTGGTCTTAAAACTGGCACAAACTGAAATTTACCAAATAAGTTTTTGTTACTATCATGATAATGTGCAGGGACACTTTCCTCAATCACACTGCTACCAGAGTTTGGTGTTTTGGTTTGTTTTCTGGTCCCTGTGATTCCAATGTGCCATCAAGGTTGAGATCCCTTGACTAATAATCTTTTAGAATCATTTTTAAACCTACGACATAGGGCTTCATTTGGTACCAAGGGACTTCTATGTGGGGTTGGAGAGTGGATCAGGGCCATTTCTGGCTGATGGGTTGCCTGTTAATAAATTGGCATTCTTCACAGGGAGCTCACTCAGTGGGTCTGATGTGGTGGATGCTGGCCCGGGAAGTGCTGCGCATGCGTGGCACCATCTCCCGTGAACACCCGTGGGAGGTCATGCCTGATCTCTACTTCTACAGGGATCCCGAAGAGGTAACGCTTCCTCTGCAAAAGGCTTATGCATAACAAAAACAAGTGGGGCACCTTGGTCTGCTTTTTAGAAGCAAAATTGTTGGTCCTGCTAACTTTTTTTTTTTTTTTAATCAAGATTGAGAAAGAAGAGCAGGCTGCTGCTGAAAAGGCTGTGACCAAGGAGGAATTTCAGGGCGAATGGACTGCACCAGCTCCAGAGTTCACTGCTGCTCAGCCTGAGGTTGCAGACTGGTCTGAGGGTGTACAGGTGCCCTCTGTGCCCATCCAGCAGTTCCCTACAGGTATGTATCAAGACCAAGGGCTTTTACAGGTATCTGACAGGATATGCAGTGTGTTTCGTAGATGGCTGCTGGGATGCGGGGAGGGCCAGTAGTGCTTTGGAGACAGTGCTGATGGCTTTTTGATCTTTTCTTAACAGAAGACTGGAGTGCTCAACCGGCCACAGAAGACTGGTCTGCAGCCCCCACTGCTCAGGCCACTGAGTGGGTAGGAACCACCACTGAGTGGTCTTGAACTGTTTCTTCTGTGGACACTGAACTGAAGCAAAGTGGAAAAGAGGTTGATGGAAAATAAAACACAAGTTTCCAAAAGTTGTCTACTTCCGTTTTTTTTCAGTCAAAATGGCTAGAATTTCTTTACATCAGCCACTGGGTAAATAACAAGTGTTTTTACTTGTTTTCTTGAGTTTTTATTCTGAAAATAGATGTGAGCTGTGCATGAGTAGTATCCCGGGAATGTTTTTTTCAAGGCCTTCTGATAGCTGTTTACCCTTGGATGGCCATGCTTGAGTGATCTCTAGTACCTACAGGCACACCTCAGGCAAACTAGTGTAGTCCTTACCTTCCTATTACTGATCTTGTGTTTATAGGCGCTGGAAGAGTTTTGCATAGAATTTTCATATAATACTGTGTCACGATTTAAAATACTGTCCCAGATTGATTTTGTTTTGTTTTTAGTACTAGGTATCAAACTCGGGTCCTTGCGCTTGGAAAGGCAGGTGGTGGAACCACTGAGCTAAATCCCAGGCCCAGATTTGACTTTATAATAATGATCATTGCTGGTGTTTTGTTTTGTTTTTTAAGGAGTAAATTTGTTAGATTGGACCCAGCTTTTGAGGGACCTGAAACATTCACAGCGATGAATATGTTGTCTTCACATGTTCCTTAGGACATCTTCCATTGATAGAAGGCAGTACGGGGATCCCATGCTGCTCAGCCATCTTGACAGCAAGCACACCTGACTGGGGAGTGCAGTGTGGGCACATGGACTGTTGCTCTGCAGTCCCTGAAGAGCCCTTGAAGCATCAATCCTTGCATATTATTGCCACTTTTGCTCAAGATGGTAGGGAGCCAGGCCTGCCTGGCTAGTGCAAGGTCCTGAGTTTGATTCCAGGTACCAGAAGAAGGTGGGAAGCAGGGAAGGACCAGCAGGTCAGCTGGAAGGGTGAACCTGGAGCTGCACACCAGGAGGGAACGCCCCTCATTTGTCATCAAAATGGCCGGAGGTTGCCTTGCAGGGAGTGAGTTAAAGGAAAACATCTTGTCACCTCACAGATGAGACTTTGACCCCTCCAATGTCCATCCTCTGCTGTGGCTATTTCCTATGCCCAGCGTCCAACCAAAAGGCTTGCATTTCCTCTTGCTGTGGCTCCTGCATTTTGCCATTTCCAAGAAGTTGCACAAAGGTAGGGACAGATGATGTCCGTGCAGGAGGTCCTTGATGGGATTTCTCAGATCCACTTAAGCCTGATTGAGTTTCGCTTGTAGCCTGACTTCCTGAGAGATCCTGCTTCCAGTGGCTCCAACTGCTAAAGAATTCTGGCCAGAGATGAGCCAGTGCTGTCCCAACATTAGCTGTGTGAAACCTTCCTTTCCTGATGGTGTCCCCAGTTAGCTTATCAGTGCTGCTTGAACGTAGGACAGTCATCGGGGCTTAGCAGCTTACTCTAGTGCTAGCAGCCTGAGTTCCCCCAGGGACACTGGGTCCTCCTTCAGCCCAGGCCATTGCTAAGGAGAGGTAGAAACTTGTCTCCCTGTCACTGCCCTTTGATTGGCCCAAGTGCACCATCTCCCTTTGCCAGCACCTGTCTTCAGAATAGATTTTTCTAAAAAATGCTTTTTGAGATGATCTTGCTATATATAGTTCAGGCTGGCCTCAAACTGGCAATCCCAAATGCTGGGATTATAGGTGGGGCCACCACACCCAGCATTATTCTCAATTCTCTTTTCCCCTTACGGGTGTTTTTGTCTTGTTTTTGACCCAGTACTTGTTTGCAGTACATTTAATTCACTTGTTTGGCCTGAATTTGGAAAATGACTTACTGTGTACTTCACATGCTTAAGATTCCACTTGCTGGAACGGAGCCTGTAACTGTTGACACACATCTTGGGGATTTGCTTTTGTGCTTTAGAGAAACTGAATCCTGTCCAGAACTCTAGCATTTCCTTTTTTTTTTCACTTCCTCTGCTTTCTTAAATGCGTTAGGGACGCTGCCTTTCCTAGGACTCTGGGCAATAAACATTTTTCTAATAATACCCACGCAAGCACAAGGATCTGAGTTTGATCCCCAGTACCAAAAAACAGTATCCTGTTGAAGTTCATGACTGTGGTATGGCAAAAAGGATGAGAGGATTAGTCTGCGTCCGTGTTCAATATGAACCCCAAGAAGGCCCAGAGGAGGCTGCCGTTAACTGAGACCCCCCTCAGGTGAGAATGTCTCCAGTGACAGCCTGAACTGAAGCCTCTGTGGCCTTTTATATTTGGCCTTTTATTGATAAAATCAGGAAGCAAGAGAAAAATGAAAGGGGGTGGGGCAGGAAGATCAGGGTTGTCTGTTTAGTGACCTGACCTTGGAACCAACCTAAACGATGATTGGGAGTGTGAGAGAAGGCCATGGTTACTTAAGGAGTATTTCTTCCTTAAGCAGTATGATCCTCCTTGGACTAAAGGCTATCTTTTAATCTCTAATCCTGCATTCCAGGAGGTTTGGGGCATGTGGCTCCAAAAGCCCCTTGCCTCTGTATCTCCACCTCATACCGTACCTCTGGCCAATGGCCCCACATGTCCTGTTTTGTTTTATTCATGCATTTGGGAAAGTGGGATGGGGTGAAGGGAGGAAGGATATTGGGCTTGGTGGAGAGGCCACCGTGGCCTCTGTACACGGCATCTGTTGAAATAGTACACAGAGGGCCCTTAGGGCTGCATGAAAGAGCAAAAAAAAATTATTCCAATAGCAGAATCCAATTGCGAAGGCTGAGACTGGAGAACCGCTTTTGAGATGGAGCCAGTAGGCTATATCTTAAGACAGATTTCAGACTCCCTTAATGGGTTCTATAAGGTGTAACCATATTGACAGGAGTTAAAGACATCTTCACAGCTCTGTTAAGTTTTTGAAACAGTGTTAATGACCACAAATAGACTAATTACTCAATATACAAGTGTATATCATTTATACAATTACAAAAGTGTTTAATCAAAACCAATAGATATAGATCAACTTTAAATGTCAGGACTAAATGTAAAGAGATGTGAAATTTTGATAATCTTATGTTTAAGGTCTAAACATACATTGTATAAAAGAGAGCACCTAATGGTTGCTTTGTATGAAGCTTACATAGTCTTCATTATATAAACTTAATTTTAAAGCTTAGACACACAGCCTAGCTTATTTTTAGATGTGTACATACATGTCTATATGTTATGTCAAAACTAAGATAATAGTTGCTTATTTAATCAATCATGAACTGATTATTGAAAACATTTTACAGGTTAAAATTTCAATACTCTCTTAAAACTCCCTTTTTGGTAACTGAAAGCCTAAAGATGAGAATTCAAGAAACTTATTTTAGCAAAACATAGAACCTTTGTTTTTAAATTTAGTTTGTAAATTTAACCAAGAGCATCTCAATACTTTAATTTTTTAAAATCATCATTGAGTTTATTGGTACTTTTTAGGGCACCTCAATACTTTAAGAAAACAATATTTTTTCTACATAGAAATCCTATTTATTTATTTACTTGGTACCAAGGATTGAACTCAGGTCCCTACGCTTGAGAAGCAGGCAGCAGCTAAATCCCCGGCCTGAAAAACCTTTTAATTACAGCCCAAAACAATTATTTTAGATGACCCATCATTAACAACACTTACTTAAAGTTATATGTTTTATTTTTTTTAATATGAAAATTTATTTTACATGGGAAACCAAGCATGTTTCTAATGTGGTTTACTTCCTGTATGTAATAGAATAATTCACTTCGAAGAAGTAAGTTCTCAGATGTTAAATTTAGATGTTTTAGGGAATAAACAGTGTGAAATAATAATTTCTTTGAAGGCAGATACTATTTTTTAACTGACCAAATCATAAAAACAGCATGGTAGGTACCTTAGCTCATCCTTCTGTCAAGCCTATTGA